CTCTTTAATTTCGTCTTGCAGCTCCCCTTTTACTGTGCCTCTCAAGTACAAAGCTTGCCACATTGATTGTGGTTGAGCACGAGCTGCCCACATCCCCGTGTGCCATAACGGCCCATTTTCACGCAATGAAAAGGAGGCAGAGTAAAGGGGAATGTATACTCCTATTCATTTTCAGCACACATTCACCTTATGCAATCAGACTCGCTTTCTTTTCCCCTTTACATACATCCAAACAGATGGCGATTCACACTGGCGCTTCGCGCCCACTCAAAGCTCAGTGATATGGAAACGAGAACACAGTTCAGATGCAAAATTCACTTCAATAGGCTATGGCGCATCAGCGCCTGCACATCAACTCTCGTCACTGTGTCCAACATCACCGTTCGCTCATGCTCATCTCTGGATCACCCTGAATACCACCACACACACTGTCTCTCGCTCATACACACACACGCTAGCGACTAACACTAACTTGGGCGGCTATGGCCGCCAACTAACACTGCCTATGCGCGCTCTATCTTCCTCAGCCCACCTCATCGTCGGGCAACCTGCAGACCACCTTCGCACAAGACGCTGTAGCAGCGGTTCCGCATGGCTTACGCAGCGAATGAATGAATTGCTGGGCGCTGCTCTTGATTTATACTTCTGTTTGTCACTGGTCTGCCCCTTTCCACCAGCCCCTTGGTGCACACAGTGCCACACGGTACTTGCTTGACTGGACTGCGACTGACTGGGACTGGTACCGCTGACTGCACGGGGTTGTACTGCCGACTCGACGCAGTCGCACTGCCGACTCAGTGCAGTTGGGCTTACCACTTGCCCACTTGCCTCTGGCTAAACGTGAGACATTTTCGAAAGGCCACTTCCGGACCTTCCGGAAGCCTGTGGACTTGGCCTTTCGAGTACTGTAGCAGCTACGACCTTGACCTTTCAGAACACCTACAGCTACGACCTCTACAGAGCTGTGACCCCTACTCGACAGACCTACTGATCGAACCCCTACAACTACACAGACCTACGACAGACAACAACCAACTACCAAAACACAGGTCACGGGTTCAAACACTCGGGTTCAACTCGATACTGTACATGGGCAAGGTAAGGTCTGGGGATCGAACTCTAGGGCCCACATCTGTGACTGCAGAAAGGTGAAAACCGTTTCACTTATATTTTATCTGCTTTTTTTATGATGCTCATTCGGATGTATTTAGTAGTGCTCCCACATGCACGCTGGCTGCAATTGTATCGGCATTGCCGTTCCAGCCCCTGTTTACAAATAGTACAACCCATGTCCGGGTGTCCTACATGAGTGCAACGTTGACTGTCATTTCATGTATGGAAACCAAGACTTGCATGAGCTATACCTTCATAATCCTCATGACACAAAGCATGCCAATCACATGGTCGCCGAATCTCGGTTGGACCATCACAGTGCAGTATCGAGTCTAATCTCCACCTGAGGCAGCTGGTCTGTTGCTCATACGGCGAGGATGGAAGGGGTCCGATTACAAATGCAGACGGAGGATGCCCAACATTCCATGAGAGACATGAATGAGGATAGTCCCTCCAGCAGAGACACCTACTCTCCATGACAGAGTCGGGATTACGGGTGCAGTCGGAGGATGCCCAACATTGCATGTGAGACATGAACGGAAAGGATGTGCCGGGTGATGGCATCGGCGATAGTCCCTCAGCAGAAACATTTCCTCTCCATGACAAATATCTGGAAATATCAATGAGACATGGCATGTTGCTGACATGCCAGCAGCAATGCAGGCTCACTTTCGCAGTTATTCAAGCATGCACGGCAAGGCCACAACAACATATTAGGCAAGCAATAAGCTGGGTGGTCGGGGACGAGATGAGTCCAACCAAGACAATGGGTCACATTTTTCGCAGCAGAGGGTAGCAGTGACCACCCATGACCATCCCTCCATAGTGTACAGAGGAGAGATGGCATTGTGTGCATGCTAACCGAACTGTGGCCGAAGAGGCTGGCATCCCTTCATAGTATTTGGTGACCATCCCTTCATAGTGTTTGGTGACCATCCCCTTCATAGTGTTTGGTGACCATCCCCTTCATAGTGTTTGGTGACCATCCCCTTCATAGTGTTCGGAGCACAGAGTGTTCGTTGACCATCCCTTCATAGTGCTTGGAGCAGAGATTGTGCCGTGCGCATGATATAGCGCTACAGTCTTCATCCGAATAGAACGCCCGGTCATTATCGCGGCATCTGGACCGAAAGTTATGCCAAATACAGCTATAATGACTGGGCGTTCTATTCTGGTGAAGACGGTAGGGCCTCTCTCCACCACACAACACTACATGTGATCTGGATCTCATAATCTTCCCGATACATGCCAAATCTTGGACTCCTCCAAAGCACTTAGTCCAGGAAGGTGTCCAAATGCATTTAGAGTTTTGAGCAGTGGAGCCAACCCACCAATCGCAGACAGAATCGAAAAATCACCAGCCAGATTGACTGCGATTATGAGTGAGTAAGGGCCTGCTACCTCTTCCCCCAACACACTGCACCCTGATAATGAATGCATACAAGCTATCATTCCGGTCAGGTGCAGTCAAAGTGTCGGTGCGTTGTGTTCGGGGGAAGACTGTAGTGTGAGTATACTCTCACTGATACGTTGTCGGATTGTTTCATGGACTTCCATCCAAACCAGACGACGATGACAATGACAAGAATCGAGCTACCGGAAGAAACAGGAAAAAAAAAAAAAAAAAAAGAATCGGAACAACCATTGGCTGCAGCAGCCAGCAATCACCACGGGTCTGGTCCTTGGCCTCTACAACACCCTGGGCTTCAAAAAAAAACACAAAAAAAAATATATTGGGCTAAGGTAGGTGGCCGCCAATGGGCCTCTCGCTCCAGTACTCCAGTCTTCCCCAGAATACAACGTACGGTCATTATAGCTGAATTTGGTGGATCTTTCAGTCTAAATTCAGCTATAATGACAGTACGTTGTATTTGGGGGAAGAATGTTGACCACAAGACAAAAAAAAAGAAAAAAATGGCGGTGTGTCCTTCGGGACATCCGTTAAAATTTGGAACGATACAGTACAGAGAAAGAAGATTGGCATGGCATGGCGCCTCCACAAGGATGACAGGCATAAATCGAGAAATGGTCCAAATATCCAGCGGTCTAGATCAGGTGGTAAGGCACGCAAGTGGCGCTCAGGAGTGGGTTCAATCCCAATTGGCCTCAGGTACCTTCCTGGGAAAGCTTGGCGCCCGCCACCTAGAGATAGGCCCTTAGGTTCCCCGACATTGAACAGAGACCGCTGATGTTCATAGGGGAAGGGGACCCCAGGGGAGGCACAGCGACTGGGCCATCGAAGAAGCTCGGTCCTGATGCCACCGGCTGGCGCCTGGCCGTTATCGCCCACCTGCTGTAGCAGGTATGGCCCCTGCTGGTGGGTGCAGGCCCTTGGTCCCCCGAGTGGCATTGAACAGAGACTGCTGATGTTCATAGTTTTTGCGGGGTGCCGACGACCCCCGACTGGTAGGTACCAACCGGCTGACCGGTCGGCGGGTCGGCAGCCGACTAGTCAAGGGCCGCCGACCGTCGGCGTGTGCAACACTGACGGCCACAAACGATGACTCCAAGCTGCTGCAACCTCTGCCTGGCACCGCCACGAAACATGCAAGGTGTTGCAAGCTCACACCTACCTCTGCCCAATCGGTGTTATTCATGTTCCATGAATAGACTGCGAATGGGCACTCGCTTTGCACAATTGAGTTGTTTCATTTCATTAATTGTGAACAATAATGGGAATACACATCCATATATACTGGGATTGTCATTATCAAACGTAAGCACAATAAATGTAGTGGGACAAATAAAACATACATACACAGATGACTACTCCTGTGCCCACTCCCCCTACACGCAAACACGTCCAAAACTACACTTTTCCTCAAAATACACGGCCTGTGCCTCCAGGGTGAGGACCCATTTATATGGATTAAGCGGCACTGGTCGCCGATCGTCATTCCCTACGGACATTATTTCTTAGTATACGCAAGCGAGACCTTCCCACCTGCACGCCCGACAATGGTATGATTCCGACGGCCGGCATTGAACACCGTGCTTTGATTCCGCTGTTGCAATGTGACTGGTCCTGCCGCCAGCGCACTTCGGGGCCGCATTTTGGGTGTACCAGCATGTATGCCATTGCTTCAGGCATCCCCGGAAGTTAAACCACCAGTACTTGGCCCATATGTTGGCCGCGGGGCGTTGTCGTTAACGCCCCACAAGTTTCGGAGGCCTGGGGTACCGGACCTGAAAGGCTGACGCCGCCAGCCAAAACATTTTTTTTTTTGTTTTGCTGGCGGGTCGGCGCAAAACGGCGCACAGGGCATATTCAGGTTCGGCATCGATAGCTGGGCCAAGTACTGGTGGTTTAACCAGTCTGTGGGACAGGCCCTCCGGGACTGGTAGTTGACCACGGCCGGGGAAGCATTGATGACCTCCCAAAAAGGGTTTGGGTTCCATAGAGGGGGGTGAGAAAGGCTCTGCAAGGGTTAAATTTGTGGGGTGATAAGAGGCAGGGGAGAGCAGATGTGCATCTCTAGGGGCGGTATCCGCAGTATGTCATTGCCCTGCAGATCTTTTGGTGGCCGTGTTCACTACAGCCTAGCCCAGCATCATCAGATGTACCAACACAAAGATACCGACGACACAGGGGTCACAAAAAATAAGAAAAAATCACCCCTCCAACCCTAGCTGAATGCACACCCAAGGTTAAATGATTTGTGCCAAACCCACTAAAGTCACCACCACCTTGGATCGCAGTCCGAGCATGAACTGGAAAAACACAGGTGCCCACAAAACAAAAAAAACAAAAAACATTGAAATGCCAGGGGGTGACGTTGGGAAGAAGCGCACACATAAACTAAATAGTAAAAACACACAAATGCAAATCATCAGTGTGCCCAGCTCCCTGCAGGGTCCCACCTCACTTCTGCCTCAGGCCATGCTGGTTTTAAAACTGACGGGCAACCCAGCCTACCCAGCCCCCTTCCTCCACGGGCACGCTGTTCCCGTGTTTTCAGTTCTCCAGGCTGTAATGAAGAGAGCGGCCAGTTGGCAGCGAGGTGGCAATCCAGTGTATATTTGAGTATCAATGTATTTTCTTTTTTGTTTCAGGCTTGCATGCATTCACCAGAATAGAATTGAGCTAAGGCCACAAGGCCTTCTTTTTTAGTAAAAAAGAAACAAAAAGAAAAAGAAAAAGACTCGAGAATATTGACGTTCATGACAAATATGAATGTGGCACCTGTGCTTCTGCTTTGCTGAGAGGTGGCTGCTGCTGCTTAGCTCCCATGGAGCTTCCTGTACCTTCCTGAGCAACTTTTCCATGCAATTCACCCTCTCCAACGACAACTGGTCGCTCATCACCTACTTCCTGGAGTCGATGGACAAGGCAACAAACGAAAGAAAACATATTCTCACATGTATAGTTATGACAATCCAATAAATTATTCTTCAACCAGCTTCTCAATAGCCCAATGCTTTTCAAGAGGAGCAAAATAACAGGAAAAAACAAAACAACAGGCGCCACACAAGTCCATTCGTGGGTCAGAAATCGATTAGTTAAACCACCACTCCCCCCGCCGGCCTAAATTCAGGGGGACCGGTAGCACATGTTCAAGAGGGCTACCGGTAGCACAGTCGGGAGAACCAGGGGAGTGGCAAAAATGGAAAATGCGTCGAATTGCCGCTGCAATTTATCTCATGGCCTAAACCATTTTTTAAGTTTTTTTTCTAATTTTTAAAATACTTTTCCTGGAAAGACCGTGGCCAAATCTACGTACCCTTTAATTTTCAGATTTTTTGACACATTCCTTTCATCGTGAAAAATCGCTGAAGTTGAGGTACTTTTCCCGTTGGCCCACACGTGGTAGAACGACAAAAATGGAAAATGAGATGAATTGGCGCGGCACCAGGGCTGGGCCGGCAACTGGCCGGTTGAGCTGGCCCGGTCCAACCGGGGCAGGACCAGGCCAGGGGGGGTCAACCGGCAAACCGGATGGCCCAAAAAAACGGCCATTTTTTTTTTTTTTTCTTTTTTTTTTTTTTGCGGGATCCGAC